AATGCACAATTCTGGGGAAGTACTAACGCAAATAATAAGAAACTTATCCAACAACTCCAAATCAAAATACTAAGACTAATTTTCAAAGCACCTTGGTATTGTAGAAGGGTTGATGTAGAGCATGATCTAGACGTGTAAACTCGGTTACCGCAGAAGTTTATAAAAATGGTAACGAAGTAATAGCTATCTTAACTTCTAGAGATGGACCACCAAGAGGACTCAAACGTCTCAAACTCGGCGATTTTTCAAACTAGCCAATACTCTCGGAGTAGTTTTGTAATTTTGTAATAATTATATAATTAATTCACATTCAGGTTGCTTGTAGTCTTTCTTTTGCATTTATTATTGAACTAGTTACTAAGAAAACAAAAAAACCTAATATTCTTCAGGCTAATTTCAATCCATCTCAATTATACAACGGTACACGTGTGACAACCAGAAAGACCACGTTATTGTAGCAACAAGTTTGACTGCAAAATATATTGGAGAAATGGTCCTGTTCGACGTTTTCCAATGACACTGTCAGAATAGACGAATAAATTTCTAAATTTTTATAATAATAAACTATAAATATTTTTGTGATTAGTTTTTAATAAATAAGTAATAAAATAAAAAATTCAACATTTATTTCTTTTGTTTATTTGTCCTTAGTAACAAATCTAAGAAAAAAATGTATTTTCAATCATTTTCAAATTTTGAAGAAATGTTCAAATTTTAACTTCGTGGATTCTTACACCGGTAATAACATTCATTTACATATGCCTTATATACATATATATATGATCAGGAAGACGAGACGAGTAGAATTCCGAGTGACTGTCTGTCTGTACGTCCGTGCAACCTGAGTAAAAATTGAGATATCTTGATGAAACTTGGTACACGTATTCCTTGGTACAAAAGGGGAGTCAATATTGCAGATGGGTGGGGTCGGACCATTACCACTAGCACGAAACACAATAAATCATACCACTTGCTCTGGACAAATCTTTTCAGCCCCCCTCCGACAGCGTAAAAATGGGTGAAATCGGATTATTGCGTACTTTTTATAAAAAACATAGGTCAATCTGTGAGTTATATTATCTAAGGTCGAAAAGAATCTTTTAATATTAATGTCCGTAAATCAAAAATGGTTTGAATGAGATCAATACTTCCTTTAGCCCCCATATACCTAATGTAACAATTTTCGATGTCGAACTTCCAGTTAACTTTATACCGCACATATCGGCTTAATAAAATTGAGAGAGCGTAATTTTCTCCCAACGGTCCATCTCTGTGTATAAAATGGATAAAATTAGGTGAATAACTAATATCAGGATTTCCAAACATCCGCTTGACTCTACGTCTTATACCTTGTTAATGGTATAAAGGATAAAATGGAGTCAATACTACACTTATCTCCCATATACCTAAAATACCTTATAATTAGTCAATCTGTTAGGTATATTAATGAAACTCAAAGAGTATATATTTCTCGTAATAATATGTCGTAAAACTAGAACTGAATAAATTCCCTAGCTACCATATACCTTGAATAAGAATTTCCAGCATCCGGCTGGATTTATACCGTATGTATTGTTTCATACTATAGTTGAATGCCGAGAACATGGCAATTTAGTCTACGAATTACCCCAACTCTATATATTTATAAAATTGCTTGAAAATCACAAGTATACCTGAGCAATGCCAAAGTAAATGCGAGCAGCCAATTTCTCTGCCCCAATATACCCTACATAATAATTTCCGACTTTAATTTGAACTGTTAAGCCTCTTCGGTTAAAGAATGTTAAATTCTATAGTTTCCACCTTAAAGTAGGCGGTACCACCCCCACTGTCTAATTTTGAACGCGATTCCCATAAAGTCATCTCATACCATCCCAGAGATAAAATCTAATGTCTCAGGCGTGTTTTGTGCTTGATTTATCGCGATTTGAGTATTTTTTAACAGTACCGTATATGGGGAGTGCGCGGGAGTTGTTGTCACCCAATTTCACAAATTTTCACACTGTCGATGGAGGTACTACAAATATTTGTTTTCAGATAATTTTTTTATAGCTTTAGCGTTTTAGGATAAATGCACATTAAACTTATTTGGGGTCAGGACTACGCCCACTTAAAAAAAAAATTGTAACTGCAGATGCCTCTCTAATGTGATCCTGTATACCAAATAACAGTCTTCTATCTTATTGTGGAGTTTAATTATGGCAATTTATTTGTTTTTGATTAATGACGTTTTCTGGGCGTGGCAGTAGTCCGATTACGCCAATATGCAATACCAACCGTCTTACGGTAACTGGAAACATGTGTACCAAGTTGCATAAAGATATCTTAAATTTTTACTCAAGTTACAGTTTGCACAGACGGACTGACGGACGGACAGACCGTCACCCGGATTTGAACTCGTCTCTTCATCCTGATCATTTATATATTCATAACCCTATATCTAACTCGATTAGTTTTAGGTGATACAAACAACCATTAGGTGAACCAAACTATTATACTCTGTAGCAACATGTTGCGGGAGTATAAAAATATTGCAAAAGAATTCAACATTCATTATTCAACGAAATCTTGAATGGATTACAAGTAGATTTGGTACTTTAATAAGTTATGTTATATGTTATGACTCACTTAGTTTTATTCACATCAACTAAAGTTTTATTAATTTCTAATTTTATTAATTTATTTTCAAATTAAATCTATATAATATAAATATATTTTGATAATATATTATATATTGGGATGAGGTGGAAAACGTCAATCAGAGGTTGGGAATTCATTATAACGGGTGTTTTTTTTTCGAGGTATATAACTTTAAGTTGGCATTAATGTTCAAGATGGCGACCGATTTAACAGCTGTCAAGTGATTTATTCTCAGTTTGGTTTGGCAATTAATCATGAATAGACTCACGATTGAACAACGCTTGCAAATTGTGTGAGTTTATTTCGAAAATAATGGTTCTGTGTGGAATACGTTCATTTTACCGTATGATGCGATAAAGCGCACTTCTGGTTAAATGGCTACGTCAACAAACAAAACTTGCGCATTTGGAGTGAGGCTAATCCTTAAGTGTATGTCGAAACACCGTTACATCCAGAAAAACTGACTGTTTGGTTCGCTTTATGGGCTGATGGAATCATTGGTCCGTACTTCTTCAAAAACGATGATGGCCAGAACGTTACAGTCAGTGGTGATCGGTATATAGCCATGATAGCTTTTAGCTAGCTTTTTTATTCCCGAATTGAACAACCATGATGTCCAGGAGCTGTGGTTCCTACAAGAGGGCACAACATGTCACACAGCTCGTGCCACAATCGATTTATTGAAAGACACGTTTGGTGTCCGCCTACTTTCACTTTTTGGTCCTGTGAATTGGCCTCCAAGATATTGTGATTTAACACCGCTAGACTACTTTCTGTGAGGTTATGTAAAGTCATTGGTCTATGCGCAAAAGCAAATGTTGGAAAAAGTCATCGAAAATTGGACGTCCAAATTGGACGATATCCGAGCCAGCCGTGGCGGTCATACGCCAGAAATCATATTTAAAATGTAATGCCACAAGATTATCTTTCGGATAAATAAAATGTATGTTAATCGAATAATCCATCGTTGTTTTATTGCAATTTAAATTCTACCTCTAAAAAAACACCCGTTATTAGGGATATGAGGTTTATACCAAGGTTTACACCAAATCCTTACATAACTAGCGCTAAACCATCATTTATTTTTTAAGAAAACTTGTCCACTCAATTTCCTTAAGGATCACACATTTTGACCAACCTAAACGGCTTCTAGTCAGCAGGAAAATTGGAAATCACTAAACAGGGTAATATTTGTGGCAGAGTAAGATCTAAGCTTGTTGCATTAACCTTTGACATTGTTAAGGTAAGGTTGAGTTTAATTAACGTATTTCACATACCATTACTAATATACATATAAGGAGTAATTCTTTATCCACTTTGGGCAGAAATATGCATCCTTTATAGAAAAACACGGCTTCTCAATTTTATTAAGATAACATATTTGCCGATATATTTGGTATAAAGTCAGAAGTTCGAAAATCTTTCTATTAGGTATATGGGTGCTAAGGGAATTATTGATCCGATTCAACCCATTTTTGACATACAGGCATACTATTAGCAGAGATTATCAGGAATATATCTCACAGATTAACCGATATTTTCGATAAAAAGTTCGCAAAAGAAACTGGCCTCCACATATTTGGTATATGGTTTTGATCCTATTTGCACAATTTTTGGTCATAAGGTGCTTTATCGCACTTTTAGTAGTTTTCAAGAAACACGTTATATGGAGAGTGGGCGAGGTTATAATCCGAATTCACACATTTTCACAGCATATATATGGATGCCAAAAAGATTTGCCCAGAGCGATTTTTGTTGTCATAGCTTGAATGGTTTAAGAGATGTGTACATTAAATTTATTAGAGGGCGGCGTCACACCCACTTTGTAAAAAAATTTTAAACTATAGATTCCCTTCCCCAATACAATTCGTTGTACTAAATAAAAATGGTTGATCTTATTGTGGAGCTTAGTTATGACAATTTATAAGTTGCCGATTAAAAACGTTTTGAGGGCGCAGCAATGGTCCAATTCCGCCCGTCTGCAATGCCAAACCTCATTGGGTGCCGAGAAGCATGTGTACCAAGTTTCATAATTATACAATATGTTATGTCAATTTTTACTCATGTTATCGCTTGCACAGGCGAACAGACAGACGGATAGATAAATGAACAGATAGACAGTCACTAAGAATTTAACTAGTCTCGTCCTCCTGATATTATAACAATCTTGATGCTCCTGGAAACTATTTTTTTTTTGTTCATACTAATTGTTTTGTTCATACTATTCTTTTAACATCTCTTTAAAAAGGATAATAATGGAAAATCTGACTTTTTAAGACTCTTGATGTTTAATATAATATTTCTTGTTTAATAATAACGGCTTGAAATCTAGTTAACAGTGAAGTAGCAGCAATAAATACCCTAAAAAATGTCATTGTTGATCCTCCTTCTAAGGTGCCATATGAAATATCACTTTGCTCAGCTAAGTCAGAAGCGCCCTCGATCGGGGTTATCATACGTTCTACGGTTAGGAATGCAGCCAAATTAGCAGTATATGACGATATAATAATTAAGGTAAAGAACCACCAAATCGCTCCAACAATACGGGTTGATACTGCCTGCAAAAAATATACAAAAAATGTGTATTAGTATTATTATGTTAATAATAACCAGACGTACGCATATCTGCATGACATTTAAATGAATATCGTTCTTTTGTTTACTGCAAATACGGGGAAAAACTGAACGATTTAATTAACAGTCTTCGGCTTTTTATTGGAAGATTTTTATAAAGTTAGTCAAATATTACAATAAATAAAATATTACACGTAAGGAAGGGCTAAGTTCGGGTCTAACTGAACATTTTATACTTTTGCAATTTGCAAAGATAAAAGGCGAGAAATAATACAGTAGACATGCCTTAGTTTTGTAGCCTTACATATGCATATATCAATTTCGATTGGTTTTAGGTGACACAAACAACCGTTAGGTGAACAGAACTGTACCAACATGTATACAAATTTTGCTTAAGAATTCAGTATGAATAACCGAATAGATTAAAATTAAATTTGATTAGTTTCATTACAACATCTTGCATTAATATTAAGATCAACCAAATTAACTAAAATTTTTTTTGTACTTTTGACATTGCTTAATATAATTTTTTATGTTCCTTATATGTGACCATATGTCTCTGGGTTTTACATTAATATGCATGCAACTATGATTTTAAATATTTTCGTTATTTGAAATCAGTTTTTTTATTCAAAAATATTCACTCCAACTTAAACATTTTATTAAATCATTAGTTAATATATGTTTTTGCATAAATATATGTTACATATGCATATGTACTTTACTATATATTGTTAGAAATTTTATGTTTATTTTTAAATTTTCAGGATAGAAAGAAAAACAGTCATAATCGTGTTTCCCGCACAAGTAAAACTTACATTTCTGACAAAAAAGAAATGTTTCATAATACAAGTATGTACACTTGTCCTTTTAACTCTTTAAGGATTCGCTTTGCTAATTCAATTTCAATCGAAGACCTGTTTCCAACTGTCTTGAATAGATGATCATCAGATGTTAGATATTTGATGTTACTTCAGATGCACTGTCATTGTGAGTTTTAACTACAGACTCTGCAGGGTGTAGCTTTTAACTACACTAATAATTCCATTATCCACATCATTTACTTATTCATTTTCAATATCAGAATCCCTCTCTAAATATAATATTTCAGTATTTCCTCTTCGGAAAATATTATAGCGAGCAGTTACAAATGTAAAAGGTATCCGTTGAGTAAACTTGTCTTTTAAGGCTCCTTTTTGCACCATTAAACAACGCTGGCGCATTTATTTATAAAAGATTTAATAAATATAGATAACAGGAATACTTACTAATTTTTGGAGTAAAATTCAACTAAGAAATTCACTTTCAAGGCATTATCTATCAGAACAAAATTAGTATTATGAACATTTGTTCACGAAATCAACCCGTGGTGGTTGGGTATTTTGCAAATCAAATTTTATTAATTGACATAAGCTAATAAGCCAAAGCTAATAAAACTATATCCTAAATAAATATTTTTAATCGGAAATTTAATAAAATAAATTTAAGTTTTGAAATCCCTTATTAGGAACATTACGTCTGAGGGGGTTAATATATGGGATATATTGATTATAAGGAAAAAATCCCAATTTCATTCTGGTATAATAAAAATCAATATATTGGAGCTAAGGTAATTTATGGATGATATCGTAGATTTCCAGCATTAAACTATAGCATATCCAATATTAAACTTTCATTTAATTTTCCTAAGATACCTTGCATATTGGCATATATCTATCAATATGGTGTCAAGCACCTAGGAAGTTTGAAAATCTTATATAATTCTTATAGATTTTCTTATATAAGATATATTGTGGCTAGGGAATATTATATTTTATTGCAAAGATTTTATCCAGTTTTGTTATTACAATCATTGCCAGAAATAGAGGCCCTCTGAATTTCTTAACGAAACCTTACATATTGACCAATATATAAAGTATAAACTCGATCGGAAGGCCAAAAATATTTATATTATGTATATGGGCGATGAAGCATACTCTAAGGTAAAAAAATCAGATGGAATTTAAAAAATTGTTTAAAGATAAGAAGGCGCGGTTGACATCGGATTTCGCCCAAGTTCGCGCTGTATAATAGGAATGATTAAGTAAACTTACACACCAAATTCAGAATCAGTTAAGTACTTCTTGAAATATAGGATTTCACCAAAATGTGGATGATGCCAAGCCCATTGACCTATTTTTTACCTGTTCCTATAAAGCCCTTCCATACCATCTTAGCAGTGACATTAAACGCTTGTGACGCATTTTTTTAGAAAGTTATTACACTTTTAGTAGTTTTCCACATAAACGTTATATGGGGAGTGGGCGCGGTTATTATCTGATCTTATCTACTTTTATACCAAATTATAGTTTGGTATCTTAATTTAGTACTTAGTTATGGCACTTTATATGTTTTCGATTAACGGCACTTAGTGGGAGTGATAATAGACCGATTCCGCCCATCTGAAATACCAACCCTTTTGGGCATCAAAGAACACGCGTACGAAGTTTCATTAAAACATCTTATTTTTACTCAAGTTAAAACTTGTACGGACTGACAGTCACCGGAATTTCAGCTTGTCTCGTCATCCTGATAATTTTTATAAATAGGTATATATAAATAACTCTATATCTATCTCGATTAATATTAGGTGTTACAAACCACCACTAGGTGAACAAAATTATTAGACTCTTTATCAACATATTGCGAGGGTATAATTAACAACAACAAAAGCATGAGATGCTTTCAATATCTCAGGATCCACTAGCTTGAAAAACTCCCAAAATGATATTTTATTAACGCAACCCACGCTCCAACCAGATTTAATGCTCCTTATATTAAATTGTCGTATATTCAAATACCGATTCAATGGGGACGCTAGAAATGTGTGACAAATAGTCGTACATAAAGACGACCAAGATTTTCAACGACTTATTTTTCAAAAATCCCCTACTAGTCCCTACGCGACTTTAAATTAACCAAGTAAGGAAGGACTAAGTTCAGATGTAACCGAACATTTTATACTCTCGCAAAGTTAAATGGTATACTCGTTTGAGATTTCTTTATATATTGTAATAATTAGAAGTAGGAACTGTTGCCTTATTTATTTACATTCACAGTGAAAATAATTAGAGCAATTTGTAAACTAAATTTACTCAAATTATAAGAAATCGTTCTTGTGTTTTTTGTATACGCTTATAATTAATTTTATATAGAATGCATTACAACTGTATTGAGAAGTATGAAAAGAAATCGTTTTTAGTCAATGAATAACATTTTTTTTTATTATATCGATATTATACATGTTTAGCTTAAAAATAATAAATATTAACAAGTTTAAAAATATAAAATATTATTATGTTAATTTGTATATAATATTTACAATATTAAACATAAATTTTTATAAAGATTCTTATACATATATCCAAATTATATTTCTTTTCTCCTTATACTATTTAATTTCTATCATATATTTATATAATAATGTCATATATACATATAACTTAAATTTGCTTAATTAGATTATTTACATATTTTTCTTAAATTTGTCTTAAAAACTACTGTCAAAATTGCTATACCATTCTAATTCGCTTACATTATATTTGGAAAAAAAAATGAAGAACTATTGCACT